CAAAGTCTAATCCAGAGCGAGAGAGGTGAGGAAGCTACAGAAGAAAAATCTGAAGTCAGCAGAGGTTGGTTCATGAGTTTGAAGAAAAGAAGCCATCTCAATAGCATAAGTTCACAGCATAAAAGTATAAGGTGAAACAGCAAGAACTGACGTAGAAGCCGCAGTAAATTTTCAAGAAGATCTAGCTAAGATCATTGATGAAGGTAGCTATACTAAACTGATTTTCAATGTAGATGAAACAGCCTTTTATTTAAAGACAATTCCATCTAGGACTTCCCTATCTAGAGAGAAGTCAATGCCTGTTTTCAAAACTTCAAGGGACAGGCTGACTCTCTTGTTAGAGGCGAACGCAGCTGGTGACTTTAAGTTGAAGTCAGTGCTCATTTACCATCCCGAAAAATTCTAGGACCCTTAACAATTACACTTAATCCACCCTGCCTGTACTCTATAAATGGAACAACAAAGCCTGGATGACAGCACATCTGTTTACAGCATGGTTTACTGAATAATTTAAGCCCACTGTTGAGACCTACTGCTCAGAAAAAAAAAAAATAGATTCCTTTCAAAATATTACTGCTCATTGGGCAGGTGTGGTGGCTCATGCCTGTAATCCTAGCACTCTGGGAGGCCAAGGAGGGAGGATCGCTCAAGGTCAGGAGTTCAAGATCAGCCTGAGCAAGACCAAGGCCCGTCTCTACTAAAAAAAGAAAGAAATTAATTGGGCAACTAAAAATATATAGAAAAAATTAGCCAGGTATGGTGGCTCATGCCTGTAGTCCCAGCTACTTGGGAGGCTGAGGCAGGAGGATTACTTGAGCCCAGGAGTTTGAGGTTGCTGTGAGCTAGGCTGACGCCATGGCACTCTAGCCTGGGCAACAGAGTGAGATTCTGTCTCAAAAAAAAAAAAAAAAAAAAAGAAAAGAAAATATTACTGTTCATTGACAATGTATCTCATCACCCAAGAGCTCTGATGGAGATGTACTAGAAGATCAATACTAACACAATGTCCATTTTGTAGCCCATGGATCAAGGAGCAATTTTGACTTTTGAGGCTTATTATTTAAGAAATACATTTTATAAAGCTATAGCTGCCATAAACAGTGACAATTCTGAAGGATCTGGACCAAGGGAGGGGAACCCGCAGCCTTAAGGCCACATGTGGCTTTCTAGATCCTTAAGTGTGCCCTTTGACTGAATCCAAACTTTAACAGAACAAATCCTTTTATTAAAAGGTGGCACTTAAGGATCTAGAGGCCACATGTGTCCTTAAGGTCACAGGTTCCCCACTCCTGGTCTGGGCAAAGTAAATAAAACAGCTTCTGGAAAGGATTCACTTTAAACGCCATTAAAAACATTTGTGGGCCCGGCGTGGTGGCTCACACCTATAATCCTGGCACTCTGGGAGGCCGAGGCGGGCAGATTGCTCAAGGTTAGGAGTTCGAAACCAGCCTGAGCAAGAGCGAGGCCCCGTCTCTACTAAAAATAGAAAGAAATTAATTGACCAACTAAAAATATACATACAAAAAATTAGCCAGGCATGGAGACGCATGCTTGTAGTCCCAGCTACTCGGGAGGCTGAGGCAGCAGGATTGCTTGAGCCCAGGAGTTTGAGGTTGCTGTGAGCTAGGCTGATGCCACGGCACTCTAGCCTGGGCAACAAAGTGAGACTCTGTCTCTTAAAAAAAAAAAAAAAAAAAAAGAACATTTGTGATTCATAGGAGAAGGTCAAAATATCAACATTAATAGGGAGAGTTTGGAAGAAGTCAATTCCAACCCTGATGGATGACTTCGAGGGGTCCGAGACTTAGTGGATAAAGTAACTGCAGATAATTAGAGCCTAAAGATGTGACTGAATTGCTGCAATCTCATGATCAAACATTAATAAGGAGTTGCTTCTTATGGATGAGCAAAGAAAGTGGTTCAAAGCAACTTCTTAGGCTAAGTAATAAATTATTAGGTATGAAATCCCTTCTGGAATTGTGTTCCATTGAAACAATTTCAAAAGTAGATATAAACTGCTAAATTACAAAAGCTTATGACAAACAGATAAAAGCTCACAGCTGTTGGCATAAATACTGAAAACCAAATGCTCAAAGGGCGATAGAACATTGTGCTCCTTCAGAGACATAAGACAGGGGTCATGAAAGGGTACCCAAAACCCTAGGCATGCGGAGGTCCCTCATTCAGAAGTCTCTTTTCACCCAGCTTCTACCTTATTTGTCCTCAGACACACCTAAAGGAAATTGTTCCTTGGAGAGAGCATAATCAGTGACCAGGGATTTGGAGTATGTTAGACCTAGGCTAGCTTTTCAATTTTCTAGGGGAGTAATCTGACGAACCTCAATTTCCTTATCTTTAAAGTAAAATGGAGATTGTCACAAACCAGTTAATGTTACTAAATAAAAGGACAGTGTCTGAAAAAAAGAAATGAATAAGGAATTGTTCAAATAAGGCAAATAAAATCCCAAGTCAAATCTTTCAGCACACTGAAGGAACCCAAAAGAAGCCCACTCTAAAGAACACTGAGCTGGAAGGCAGGCATTCTGGATTCCATTTTGGCTTCACTGCAACCAGCTCCATGACGTTAGGCACATTATTTCATGTATGTGAGTTCTAGTTTTAAGATCTACAAAATCAGAGGACTGAAAAAACCTTCTGCCTGTACCATACTATAACTAAATTATTAGGGATGCCATTTACTGTTATACTTCCAAAACTTTCAAAAATTTTTCATTTCAATATTTGGTTTTTGTACCTTTAGGTCCTGATCAGTTTTCATTATGACTGAGCTGCCAGTCATAATATAAAAAACTGTTTCCTTAACTAACTTGTCTAAGGTCAGATTGCTAAAAAGTAGCAAAATCAGAATTCAAAACCACATCTGTCTAGAAAGATCAAACTCTATGGCCTGCTTCTTCCTCAGATCTTCTTCCTGACAAATCTGGTAACTAGCAGTTTGCCTCTGCAAAATAACCAGAAGTCATCAGAAGTGTACTCAATGGAAGAGTCAAGTTACCTGAGTCAGGTAGGGCTTGAACTTGACAAAGTACTCTAACCGAACTAATTAATTAGACATTTCAGCCACTTAAAAGGAGGCTGGAGAAACAAAAAGGAAGGTAGGTAAAATTATAAAGAAAAATTATTAATTGACAACACAAACAAAAATAAAGCACCTCTGAAATTACAAGTAAACAGGGCAGTTCATTCATATATATTTTCAGGAGGTAAAGTATAAACCGAAATATTCAATAAAATAACTGCTATATTATCTTTAATTCATATTTGAAATAATTAAGAACACAAATAACGCTAGGTTACCCATAGTAGTAAATGGAGGAGTAACAGATAATCCAAAGTATGTATATCTGGGTTTAGAAATAAAGCATATGGTCTAAAAAGATAATCCAAAATAATGACTATCAGGTGTTAAAAATAAAGTACTTAATCATCTATATACATTTACCTCCCAAATTATTGCTTGATTCAGGCTAATATCAAGATTAATTTCCAAGTAGTAAGAGAGACCAAGACAGTCTGAGAGAACAAGACTTCTAAAAATATAGTGAATAAAATCACTACTTCCTTATATCAGTAGAAAATGTTTTATAACACATTCATATCAGTTCTATATGTAATAACAAAACCAAGGCACAGAAAAAAGTAACATTTAAATTCCTATTGCACAGCAGAACCCAGTTAGCTCCCTGCTGTTTTCATTAAACAGTCTAGGGTTAAAAACTGGTTTTAACTAATCCGTGGATAATCAAAGAGTAAATACACGCACACACATACACAAACTCACACTTGCATACTTTGGTCACCAGCACTTACAAAATAAAAAAATTTCATAAGACATAATAGAAAATGGAGCAAGAGGTGAGGTCACCTACCATTTTACTTCTATTGAAAGAAGTCATTATGTGCTCTCCCCAAACATTAGGCAGCCTCCAAAAAGAACACATACACACCCCAATCTCGGATTGTCATTCAGTAGGGTACCTAGGAAAGCCTTTGAAATGTGTTATATCAGCTCGGAGAGAATTAGACGATGCACAACACCACAAAACATCAAATAAATGAAAAAATATACACATCTAAAATTAAGAACTAGATGTAGAATTTTTTTCTGAATACAAATTGTCTGAGAGCTGATATCCAAGAGCCTTTGCAATTAGACATTAGTACAAGATCAAAACTGTTAAGTGTATGCCTCACTGCCGAAACCAGCTACCAGCTACTAGGCTGTGACCAACTTTTGTGCTCCCCACATTAGCACTACACCAGCTATGCACCCTGCTGATAAAACTGGACCGCGGCACTTAATACACCAAACCAGAATCACCATCGTTAGCTAAACAACTCTCCGGTCACTACTGTGACGCCCGCTCCAGAAGGTACTGCATTTAGTGTGAGGACTCGAGGTTTAGGCAGAAGAGCAGTTAACAGATGCCGTCTGTATACACAGTGGTCAGCCCCCACACAGTAAGGAAGGCGATGCGCCTTGCAGGCTCAGGAAGTTGACTAACCCAGGGGAAAGCTCTATGCCAGGGGAAAGGGAGCATGTAGTTGGTAGAACCAAAAGTAAACATGGAAAAATTCATTCAAGAATTTCCTGAAGGCCTACCGTGCAGACGTAGGAGGCAAGTTAAGACGCTGGGAGGCAGGTAAGGAAAAGAGACCAGAGTTCACAGACAGACTGATAATGATCTACCAGCTCCGGTGGGGCCCCAACCGAGGGCCGCTCGTCTGTGGAGCTGGGGAGGAAAGGTACCGGGCGGGCTCTGGTCCTCCTCCAACAGCCCTTTCCAGCAGGCCTGGGGCTAAGACCCAGGCCTGGCGTTCGGCACATGGTTGCTGGAGAGCGACCCTCCAGGCCGCCCGAGGCCATGTGGCTGGGGCCGCAGAGTGCCCAAACCCGGTGCACGCTCAGGACAAGAAACCAGAGCAGGCAAGGTGCCGGAGGAAACCCAAAGAATGGGATGCTGGGGTACAAGACTCACTTCCTTTGGGCTTTGTCCTTCTTGGCCTTGGTCCTTTTCTTTCGGGCCTGGAGCGCAAGCACTGCGGGAGAGAGGGATGGATGAAGGGCGAACGTGGAGCAAAGGAGGCGACCAAGGTGAGGGTGGAGACCCAGCAGCGGCGCCAGGCCCGGCTGTGGGGCCTGCCCGACGGGCGGCCGCGGGGCGAGCGCCCGGGGTCCGGCGTGGCGGCCGGCTGGGGGGCTGGCGGGCCATGGGGCTACGAGCAGCGCCCAGGCGGGATGCGCCGGAGGGGGCTCGGGCCGGGTCAGGGGGCGGACGGGCGGGGGTCTGCTTCGCCCGCCGAAGCCCGGGCGCCGGAGTGGCCCCGAGGCGCGAGCCGTCCCGGCGGGGAGCAAGGGGCGGTGGCGGCCGGCGCCGGAGGACGCCCAGGCTGAGGGGCGCGGACCCGCAGCCCAGAGGCGCGGGGTGAGGGGCGGCGCCACCTCACTGGAGGGCGCCGCACGCCGGGGACCGGACGGCGGCGGTTAGGCGGAGCTCCCAGCGCTGCCCGGGCCTCGCCCCAGCGGCCGTTGCCCCTCGTGGCGGAGGCCGCTCCACTGCTCACCTTTCCGCTCCATGGTGAGACCGGTAACCGCCAGGCGCCTGCGCACTCGAGTGGCTGCGACTCCGGCTCCCGCCGCGGCCCCAAACCCAGCCCGCGCTCACCCCGCCCCCAGCTCCCGCCCCGCCCCGCCCCACGACGCCGCGCCTGCGCGCTGAGCGCGGAGCCTACCACCTGCTCCCGAGTCGGGGGCGGGCAGGACAGGGGCGGATCGCGGGGGAGAACGCCAAGGGGGTTTAAGGTGCAAGCTTGGGAGGCTGGCGGGGTTAGTTTTGTTCCACTTGCTGGACGGTAGTCCCTCGGGAAAGGCGCGGAGCGCGGTGTCTGGGGCTTGCTGCGTGCTGAGTCAGCGCTCCGGAGTCAGCTGGGATCTGCCTCAGTTTCCTGGTCTATAAAATGGATTAACCTGGCATGTCCCGTTTCTGTCCCTGAGCTATTGTGAGGACCAATTGAGATCCCATTTAAAGAAAAGTGGAGGGGGGCGGGGCGGGGAGAGGAATACATCTGAAAAAGAAAAGGAAGTGAGAGCAACACAAAAAAAACTGGAAGAAAGGAACCTGAAGCCCGATCTGCACTTTAAAAGCAAAAACTTCAAAATTGAACTTTCTCTTAAAATTTCAAGTTTAAATGAAAGCTGTAAAGGAAAGAAAGGAAAGGGAGAAGAAAAAAGTGTTTTCTCATTTTTTGCCACTTTATCATTTCAATACATGATAAAGTCTTTATTTGTGAGATATTTTGGTACTTTTCTAAGTGCATTATGTCATTTGATGTTTAGGACAACTTAAAGGCAAGATAGTTGTTACCTCACTACACAAACAAACTAAAACTTGGAGCGGTTATATACTCAGAATCTTGGTGTACCGACCCACTGATTCAATCATCAAGCCATTGTTGTATAGCAGAGTCAGCAAAGTTTTTCTGTAAAGGGCTATATAGTAAATATTTAGGTTTTGTAGACCATAAGATCTCTTTCTCAATTACTCTGACATTGAAGCTCAAAAGCAGTCACAGAAACTATGGGCTGTCTGTATTACTTTAAAGATTTATTTATGGGCACTAAAATTTAATTTTTTTTTTTTTTTTTTTTTAGAGATAGGGTCTTGCTCAGTCACCCAGGCTGCAGCGCATGGAGTTTAGTGGGGCATTCATACCTCAGTATAACCCAGAACTTCCGGCCTCAAGCATCCTCTCACCTCAGCTTCCCAAAGCGCTGGGATTACAGGCATGAGCTACTGTATCTGGCTTGAAATTTAAATTTGATATAATTTTCACATGTCATGAAATATTTTTCTTTTGATCTTTGTTCAACCATTTCAACCATTCTTAGCTCAGATTCTAGTTTGCCAGCCCCTGTTGCAAAGTACTTGCAGCTGGACAGGGCAGAGGCTCTAAAGACCCTTGCTCTAAAAGTGGGACTCGAGTGGGGAAGACAGACAAGTAATCAATTGACTGGAAAGGGAAGATGAAAGTACAGTAGTGCAGCACCATGGGGGCTTGGGCAGGACTTTTTTTTTTTTTAATGGAATGCTGCACGAATTTGTGTGTCATCCTTGCATAGGGGACATAGCTAATCTTCTCTGTATCTTTCCAATTTTAGTACATGTGCTGTCAAAGCGAGCACAGCCAGGACTTATTGAGCAAAGTAATTACATCCAGCCAGGGAGGAGGCAGTCTTTGAGCTGGGACTTGAGAAATGTGTAGGATTTCCATAGGTGGAGAAGGGAGATGTCAGGCATTCCTGAATGAGAAAATCAATTGAGCAAAACAGCATAGACGTGGAGACTTGTGGGTGGGGGCTGTGATTGGAGCTGGTAATGACTAAAGGGATGAAATGGAAGGTGAGGCTGGAATGGTAGGTTTGCCAAATTGGAAATTTGGATAATTAATATGTTGCATGGAACCTGAATGATAGCATGCTTCTGGGCATGTTGCAAAAGAGGACAGCATCTATTGGCCAAGGAAGACTGCAGCCCACCCAATCTCTGCTCTAAACTAGAAAACAAAAGGAGAGTTGGGGCAGACCGTGAAGCCTTTGAGTCTGAGGATCGTGCTAGCTCAGGAAAACCTCACGTGGTTTAGAAAACACAGGAGAGAACTAGTGGCTAGGAAGAATCCCAGAATTGGGGAAGTACTGCCCACCAGAAAGTAAGCTCTATGAGGGTAGGGGCCCTGTCTAGGTTTTCCTTGATGTATCTCAGTGCCTACAGTGTCTAACACTTAGCTGGTGTTCAAATATATGCCAATAAAAGAAGAGATGATCTGTAATTTATGAGAAATGTCAGGATGAGAAAGAAAACACTGAGAGACAATATGAGAGCTGTGCTAAATCCAAATGGATACTGCAGATCCATCAAAAGAGAAATGTGTTCAGCTTGGCATGATTTGGTCATGCCTATTCTGACTCTGAGTGACTATTGTTTACTAACCATCTGTTTAATGACTTATTTGAGCATTGTCCCAGAATCAATGTTAAGCTCACTGGACTGAGTGCCCAGAATTGACCATTTCTCCTTTTTTTCATCTGTTTTTATCCATTCTCCCATCATGCTTAGGTTTTCCATACTTTTTTTAAGATCTCTACAATTGTTCATATAAGTTTGTTTTTCCCTCCAAATTCACAAAGCTTGGCCTATTCTGGACTATATGCGTCCAGAAATTATTCTTAAAGTGGTAGCTATTCTTTGGTATTCATTCTTACATACACACTACTCCCCAAGCTGTTTTCTACAAGTCTTTTTTTTTTTTTAAAGACAAGGTCTCACTCTGTTACTCAGGCTAGGGTGCAGTGGCTAGATCATAGCACACTGCAGCCTTGAACTCCAGGGCTCAAGCAATCCTCCCACCTCAGTCTCCCAAGTAGCTTGGACTACAGGCGTGTGCCACCATGCCTGGCATACTTTTCTTATATTTTTCGTAGAGATGAGGTCTCACTATGTTGCCCAGGATGGTCTTGAACTCCCAGCACTAAGTGATTTTCCTGCCTCAGCTTCTCAAAGTGCTGGGATTAGAAACATGAGCCACCACGTCCAGCCCTACAAGTTCTTCTAAAAGTGGAATTATTCAGAAAACCTGAGATAAATTGTATTCATGGCTGCTCATGTTCATTAATTCAGTGTCAGAATTTAATTTCTGAGAAGATCTCATTCCTCTTGAGGTAACTTACTTTTCTTTTTGTTTTAAAAACCAAACAATGCTGAAAGACAACTTACTCTTTAGACTGCCCTAGGATCTTCCCTAATGCTTCTTCGACATGCTTGAAATCTGAATGCCTAAAGTTGAGTTCTCATGCTTCCTTACACTCCACATTCTCTGCCTTGATTATCACAAACTGTTATGCACCATCCAAAGTTTTGATCTGAATTAAATCCAAAGTAACACATCCCTTTATGGCTTCTTCTACATCCTGTGAGATGAAATGGACAATAGGAGAAAGTGAAAATATATCAGATGCTTTATTCTGAGTGATTTAAGATTTCCATGGATCTTCAATTCCACTGATTGAAAAAAAACAATGATTTCCAGTAGCTGTCTGCATAGTTGGGGAACCCCAATGGCACTTTCTCTTGCTTTTTGGTACATAGATTTGTGAAGTGTATCAGGGAAATATGTTTTAGGTCTGAGTATCAGGAAAACATGGCAAATTAAAAGGGTAATTGAAAAGAATTTAATGAATGATGGAGGTGTGAATAGAGGTAAGGGAAACCAACATGGGATGGGGAGGCACCCAGGGCCTGGAGTTTTACCACCCATAGGCCTGAAGGGACAGGGGAGGGAGGCGTTGCCAGAACCCAGTGAGAGCTTGTATTCATGCGGCAGGGCTGCCATGATAAAGTATTAATGCCACAAACTGGTGGGGTTGAACAACAGAAATTTGTGGTGTCACCAGCTAGAAGTCTGAAATCAAGATTTTGGCAGGATTGGTTCCTTCTTAGAGCTGTGGGGAAGACTCTGTTTCAGGCCTCTCTCCTTGCCTCATAGATAGATGGCCATCTTCTCCCTGTCTCTTCACTTCACCTTTCCTCTACACGGTGTCTCTCTATGTCCAAATATTCCCCTTTTATAAGGACACTGGCCATCCTAGATAAGAGCTTGTCCTAATAAGCTCACTTTAACTTAATCATCTTTGTGAAGACTGTGTCTCCAAGTAAGGCCACATTCTGAGGTACTGGGGGTTAGGACTCCAACGTCTCTCTGTTGGGGAGACACGATTGGACCCTGACAGAGCTGTAGCAGTGCAGAAGGGGGCTGCCGACCAGCTGTGCGCTCTGTGAGCCTGCAGGAGAGAGCAGGGAAATAAAGTCCCAACATCCTCCTCGTATCCTCTCAGGCTAGTGCCTCCCATTGCCAAACCCAGCTGGAAGTTAGATGACAAAGAGGCTGCCCAGGACACAGAGCAGGGAGGAGAAGGGCGGGAGAGTGATCTGCAGGGCCTGTCATGAGAATAGCAAGCGCAGCCTGTCTGGGCAGTGGATACACCCAAAGGAGCTAGCACTTTCCAAGCAGGTAAGTCCACCTACTGGGCTCCCTGATCCCTGGAGAAGCTTGAGAACCAACGCTGCTTGGAGATAACCCCCTTTCTGGCTTAGTTCCTTAGAAGCTGAAGTTTCACAAGGAAATTGTGCGTGGGCAAAAGGTTGGGGGCAATAGGTGGAGGAGATCAAGGGATAAAGGCCTAGGCTTGGCAGGGTGGGAAGAAAGGCAGAGCTAGGAGGAACAAGGAGGTTGCAGATCGGTGATTCTTGAGGCAAGCAGGGGCCCTTGCTCTGCTCTCTGGAAGTGCTCTAGGGAAGCAGCAAGGTGTTGCAAACTGACCTAAACTGATCATGCCTGGCTCTTAGTTCTTTTTGGTTGGGAATGATGCCTGCCAGAGAGCCTTGACAAGGTGAGGGTTTGCCTCCCCCACAAGCTGACTCCCAGGATATAAAGAAAACAAATGTTGTCTAAAATCTGCCCCCCACACACATTTGTTCAACATTCAATAGCAGGCAAGAATAAAATGGCTCCTATGGTCTGTTCTGTAAGTTCCATGAG